CCAGCGTTAAAGCGAAGCTGGAGTTACTCAAGTTACAGAGCTGGATGTTACTCAAGCTACAGTGGTACCACTTATGATAATTTATCAGTACGTCAACAATTGAAGCTATTGTCATGATTGTGTTTATATTACTCTTGAAAACAGAACAATGACATCAATGAAAAAGAGCATTGTTTATTGCCATGACTGCTGTTATTTTAGTCAACCAGTTACATTGTCATCAGGCATTGTCAGGTCATCATGGTCATTGACGTGATTAAAGCATTTTAACAACGGGTTGCATGTCGTCAAGCTACCACACAGTATTGGATAGCGAGATGAGCTTTATCCATGATCATGATGATATGGATACAAAGTCTCCCTGGTTCGAATCCACGTCGTCGCTGCTCATTTTAATCGGCTATATTTTTTCTTCTCTTGAGTTTATCAATATCATTGATTTTCAGGAAAGATTCCCATATCTGGCCATCACTTATTTGTCCCGTCACTTCAGTGACTTATCAGCCATGATAATTGTCCTAAAAAAAAGTCAAATTTAGCAGGGGAAATATTAAAGTGGTTACTGACAAAACACTTCGAAATTTTCTGATCAGTCCTAGGGTTTGTGCACAGTGTATGGCCACAATCTGACAATGGGAAACAAGTTTTAAGTTCAACCTCATTCTTAAGTTCCTACCTTTTTCACACTTGTTGCTGGATCCGTTTCGGGTTCATTTCTTCCATTCATGGCCGATGACTCCTTCTCCTTAGAATCCATCGTAGGGGAATCCAAACCACCTTCCACCGATCCGTACATAAATCTAGTAAAATGTAGCTTACAAGCTACACCTACACTTATTTAAGCCTAGATGAAATTCATGTCGAACGCCGGCTGTACTGTACACATATCACGCGTCGCGGCGCCGCGCCATTTGCATAGCTTGAGGGCGCTCAATCGATCCCTGTTATGTATTTTTATCACGTGCCTACTTTTCTCCACGTGGGCGACCTTTTTGGAAGAAACCATTTACAATGAAGGGGGCTCTACATGTCACAGGACGTACATGTATGGAAAAAATGTATACACTTTTCGAGAAGATGTCCAACAAAATAAAGTAACAAAAAAAGTAAAAGCCAAAAAAAGTATAAAAGACAGGAAATGATACATTTTTGCATCCCTAAGTACTAGAACTTTAGGCTCGGTTAAACGCCCATTCTTTTTTTCTGTTTATTTCATTCCGAGTCAAAGGTTAGTGGTCGGTCAAAGTGTATGTTTTATTATGTAACGTATTACGCAACACGACTCCTGTAGCTAGCTAGGGGCGGATCAGGAAAGTTAGATGGTTGGATAACCACTATACATACATGTACACGCGAACGTCGGCGGCGTTTTTTTTTTTTTTTTAGATATTTTGTCAAAATGAGGTAATTGGTGATTCTTGACTAGCGATCAGGAGCTGTGTCCATGTAGCCGATCCTTGATTAATTACTTTTACACCCCCATATTATAATCTTTCTTAATCGCAGACACAACTTTTAGGATTTTCTTTTCGCTCGCAGTAGAGGGTGGAAGTGATTACCTAAAAAATTAATCTTGAATTTTCTAGTGAGACAATTAATTGTATGGCAGGGGGAACATTCAAGCGGTTTATGATTAGGCCAAATAAAAAAAAATAACATGTTTAGCGTCCTGCCTTTTTGAGAAAAAAGAAGAAGCGGGAGGCCCTTTTTCCCCCCTCCAAAATGGCCGCCCGCCGGGCTATTTTTCAAGTTGGCCGCCAGTTTTTTCTTCCTTTTTTTTTAAATGGCCGTCATTTGACTAAATGACATACCGGCTTAATTGTATGGACTAGAATGATGCAACAGACAAAGAGGCTAAAATGAAAGAAAAAGGATTAAGACCTTTTTTTCAATTTGCAGGTTTTGTTTTAAAGAAAAGCGGCTAATATTCCTCTTTTGGTGCGTCTGCAGCCCTCTGAAAAAGAAATGGGCTTTCACTTTGTGTACAAATAACCTCGCAAGAGCCGATCTAGCAGCCAATAATTCTAATTTAGGGAAGTAATAATTTAATATTATCATTCATTGGTGATTTGTTGTGTTCAATGTCTCATTCAAATGTGAAGAGCTTTTATATTGCTAGAAAAAATAGCAGTTGAAAAAAATCTTTATTTCGAGATGAAACTTGAAAATAGCATGGGGAATGATCTTTCAACAAACAAAAAAAATGGCCAAATCGTATTTCTTTTTCTCTCCTTTTAATTTAGATCTTAGCGTCCCACTACATTTCAAACAATGTACGTGCGTTATAAAATCGTCTTAGTCATAAGTGAATATAAATTTACCTTCAAAATGACAACACATACAAAATATTAATGTTAAAATGAAAATGTTCCAAAATGAAAAAAAGAAAAAAAAATGTTTATAAAAAACAGCACCTTTATATTATAGAAAAAACAAGGACAATAAAAAGCGTTAGCACCTTTATATTATAGAAAAAACACAAAACAAATTTAAAATCACAAATCATGAATTGCAAATAATGACTGCATCAAAGCCTATTGTGCTAAGCACGAGTGCTTATCATGACTTTTACGAAACTACAAAACTATACCATGATGTAAGAATGATGATAAAATTCTCATCTCGTCTTAGTCATAAGTGAATATAAGTTTGCCTTTCAATGAAAACACATACAAAATAATGTTAAAATGAAAACGTTCCATATGAAAAAAAGAAAGCACCTTTATATTATACAAAAAACAGCACCTTTATATTATAGAAAAAACAAGGACAAAAGCGTTAGCACCTTAATATTATAGAAAAAACACAAAACAAATTTAAAATCACAAATCATGAATTGCAAATAATGACTGTATCAAAGCCCATTGTGCTAAGCACAATGAGTGCTTATCTTATGACTTTTACGAAATTACAAAACTATACCATGATGTAAGAGTGATACATTTTTCAAAATGCTTCAATACATTTGCAAGCCAATTACAAAATGCCTTTGTTCAAAAAAGCCCCCCCCCCCCGCCTTATCTTTTCATTTCACATCAAAATGAAAAGAAAAGAAAACAAGTATTTTAGTAAAATTTTACCAAAATAAAAACAGTTTTTAACTTCTACAAGGCTCTACACTTAAATCTGGTACAAATTCAAAAGAGGTCATTTTTACATATTGAAAGAGTTGCAATTAACGTCCAATTAACGGTAGCCTTGACCAAGGCTATCAGCTTGTTCCCATACGAACTTGTTCCCGCTACTGCACACCGCGCGCGCTGCGACACACTGTTGTACCATGCCGTTAGCCTCAACGACCCTTGCGTGTGCTTTGTGTGCATGTACGTACGCTCCACACACGCTTCCGCAAACAGCCGTACACTGTACGGCTGTTTGCGGAAGCGTGTGTGGGGTGTACGTGCATGCACACGCAAGGGTCGTTGGTATCCGGTTCGTTAGTGTGACGTCACCTCCAGCACTTTCTGCACGATTGGAACCGGAAGTTAACGCAGCTCGAGCGTTTGCAGCCAATGGGCGCTAGTAATCAGTGGTGTGCGTGTATGACGTTTTTACTAACGAACCGGATAGTACAACTACTGTGTCGCGGCGCGCGCTGTGTGCATGCGGAAGCGGGAACAAGCTCGTATGGGAACAAGCTGATAGCCTTGGTCAAGGCTAAATTAACGGGTGTGTATACACTGTTAATAAAAGCACACTACCGGTAATCTCCAAATGATGTAAAGCGGTATATCCTATGATCAAAGAGGGACATTTTGAAAAGGTAAAAAACATCCTGGTTTGGAAGCCATTGGGGTTCAGTTTAAACTTTTGACGACTTTGCGATAATTTTTTTTTTTTAGGGGGGGAGGGGAACCAATAAAATGGTGACTTATTCAGATCCTAACACTTCAGAACAATAAGTACGATTTGGAATTTTGTTAAGCACACGATTACAACAAAAAACATGCAAAATTTGCACAATGCAATGAAATATCATTTGTTAATTTTTTACTGGCATTAGTACAAACTGCTGTTTGTTAACTCAAATGAAATGCTTAGTTCCTGGTTTAAATAACAAATGTAATGTCAGTTTAGCAATCTCATCCAAAGTAAATTCAAACGTGAAGGTTAAAGTCAAAGTGGATGAACAATGGAGAAAGAAATGCCTTTGTCAAAGTTTTTTGAATGGTTAGTCACTTGACTTGAGACTTATTTGGAATTGACTTGTGATTGTCAAGATTGCCATGAATTGTCACGACTTGTGACTTATTGTCATGACTTATGACTTGTCATGGTGACCAACCATTCAAATGAACTTTGACAAAGGCACGGTTTTCCATTGTTCATCCACTTTGACTTGAACCTTCACGTTTGATTTTACTTGTGCTTAAATTGTTATACTGACTTAATGTCATTGTCATGGCTTGGGCCTTGTCATGGCTTGTTACTTGTCATGGCTTGTGACTAGTCATGGCTTGTGACTTGTCATGGCTTGTGACTTGTCATTGCTTTTGACTAGTCATGGCTTGTGAGTTGTCATGACTTTTGATATCATGGCTTGCAACTTGTCACGGCTTGCGACTTCTCACGGCTTGCGACTTGCCATGGCTTTTGACTTGTCATGGCTTCTGACTTGTGACTTGTCATTGCTTGTGACTTGTCACAGCTTGCGACTTGTCACGACTTTTGATTTGGCATGGCTTGTGACTTGCCATGACTGCTCACATGTCACGGCTTGTCACATTTCATAACTTATCACGTCATGACTCGTGACTTGTCACATGTCGTGACAACTTGTCACATGTTATGCATGTAACACGTCATGACTTGTCACAAGTCATGACTTGTCACATTCATGTAAGGTCAGGACATGTGGCATGATTTGTGATTCATGACTAGATCTGTTACAACCCTGCTTTTATTAATAATTTTGCACTACAGGACGGAAAACAATAACCAACTTGGTTGGAATTTCCAGAATACTCCACTTTTTATAAATATCCGAAAGGGAAAATGTCTCTTTAATAATAATCCATACAAAAAAATAACAACATTCAACTTTGAATACAAATACACTAAACACTGAATACAAATCCTTCACTTACATATCAAAACGTCTCTCCCAAAAATTTAAGTGTGTTTAAAAAAATTAAATATTAATCAGTTTGGTGTTTATTTCTGGCTTCATCATAGAGCTATATTAAATTACTAGAGCGCTGACTCCTCATTCTTACCCGCGGAGATAATTTGAAGCCTTCCTGTGTGCAGACATTTTGAATTCATGTGAGTGTCTGTAGAACATAATGAAATTAGATGGATTTAATTGTTAAAGTGTACTCTAAATGCAATGCGCAAGAACAACATACGTACACAACTTCAGCGGGCCATCACGGTTTAAAAAACGTCATGGCAAATCTCATCTGCAGCGGATACGCACACGCGTTTGCATTGTTTGCGCAGAGCAAAATTAAGCGGTCATTTACTGATTGTGCGTTTCGGTTGTGGGCATATTAGCTTTGATAACACACCTGTATAGAATGCAAACGCAGATATAGCCGTACAAAAGCCATACAAAATTTCTAGTTTTCCATAGGTTTGTGCACAAACATTGATGCACCCAGCAGGCATCACTTTGTACATCAAGTCAGTACTCTAGTACCGGGTAATTTAATATAGCTCTATGGGCTTCATCAAAACTCTGCCAAGTACAACACAAGTAATTTTGTGTTTGGCTTGTCTATTTGGCTGGACTGTTCTTCCACCAGCCTCTGTCAATTAATTTACAATGTGATTAACTTTCACGCCTTGTTTTCTTTCCGCCATTTTTCTTTTTTGATTGAAATCGTGGTGGAACGTGTGTCTTGTCTCTTGAAAGCCGGGTGGAGAACACTTTATCATTAGATGACTCTGAGGAGGAGGTTGATGATGGACCACGGTTCTCACTTGGCGAGCTGTGATTGGCTGCAGTGGACTGATGTATTTTTTGCTTTGCAGCCATCTGATTGGCTGGAGAGGATTGGCTGTTTTTCTTCCTTGACTGAGAGTTCAATGGAACATGCCTCTTTTCTCTTGGAATTGCACCCTGTGTGTGATACCTAGTAAATTCATCACTAGAAAGTTTTGAGGGGGAGGCTGATGATAAGCCGAGGGATCCATCTTGTGAGCTGTGATTGGTGGCAGGACAAGCACGTGGTTCCATGGAGGCCCTCTGATTGGACATAATAGAATCACGTGACCTTACTGCAGACCGTCTGTCATTGGTGGAAGTTGAATACCTTGAAGTGAATGAGTTTTTTTGGCAAGAGGTACAATTGCTCTGGTTGGTTGAATACAATTTTGCTGCTTTCCTTCCGGAAAGGCTGCTCTGATTGGCTGAGGCAGAGTGACGTGGTACTGGTGAATCGTTCTTATTGGACCAGGAATTTGACCCTGCTGGCTTACAGCTGTTCTGATTGGCTGCGGTAGAATGTCTGGACATTGCACAGTTCGGATGATTGGTCCCCTGACTTTTCCAAGCTCTTGATGTCTCCCGATTGGCGGACGTGCCGCAGTGCAAATCTGCTGACGTGGTCTGACTGGCTGGGGCGGATTTACTGGTTTTAAAATGGCTGCTTGATACTACATTCTTTTCAGAACATTTCTCATCCTTAAGTGAATCAGGTTCTGGAAAATCTAAACGTAAAGAGAATCCAAAGATTAATAGACACATATTACACACACCAGTGGAAGAGGCAAACCACAGTTTTTCCTGAACGGCTATAGATTCTTTGCAATACTTGAACAACCCGAAACCTGTTCTACCAATTTCATTGCCACGCTTCATGGTAAGCAAAAAAGGTGCGCGCTAACTAATTAAGCAGAAACGTATTGCAAGGTTTTTGTGCATTGCCACTGTTGTTTTTGTGTCATTATTTTAGGTACATTCTTCTGTCAAGGTAAGGATGCTTATACTGACTAGTGCCCCTTTAACAAAGACATCAAAGGGGAACCTCCACCACAGGGCTGGATAGCTCAGTTGGTAGAGCACTGGAACGGCAATCAGAAGGACGCAGGCACAAACCCCGCTATAGTCAATTTCTTTTTTAACATTAAAATAATTATAATGCACCTAGTCAGTTTTCCTGCGTGGTTTATTTGAAAACAATTATAATGTATTCTGCTGTATTAACCCGTTACAAAAATTCTGGATGAGAGATTAAAGAAACGGTAGGCAATTAGAGATTAACCCTGTTATTTAAACTGTCACAGACAGTCAAAATTCACTTCCACTTCCCCTGCTATACTTTTAACAAAGGCTAGTCACCAGCAGTCAGATCAAATGTCAAGCAAGCACTGTTACTAGTCAAACTGAGTCAACAGACAAAGCAGGCAAGTTGTGGCCACAGCTGTTTTATCACTCACCCAGAGTCAAAGCATAGCTGTATCAGAAGAGGGAGGGGTATAATCTAAGTAACTTTGCCCACCCCCACCCCTTTCCCCAGTCTTACCTGGTTTGTGGTCTGTGCTGTCCACAGCCAGCCACTCCTGTTCAGGGAAGATAAAGGGGTTGATTCCCCCGGCTCCCTTGACCAGCGTGGTTGGGACGTGGGCCGGCCCGGGCTCTTTGAAGTAGCAGTCGGGCAGGTCGCCATTGTCACAGAGCTGCAAGTCGCAGTCTTCCGCCTTGTCCCATTCAGGTTCACTGCTGTCTTCTGATTGGACGTCCTTTACGCCAGCAACAGCTTAAAACAAACACACAGAATTTCAGCATGGAGTACTTACAGGATTACCCCCAAAAAATGCAACCCTGAAACATTTGCCCTTTTTCAAAAATGTGATGTGATTTTTTTCATGTTTTGGGTTGCTGAGAAAATGCCAATGATGTAAAAGAAGTGATTTTTCATCCTTTCCAATGGTGCTTCAAACAGTGACACATGTTACTTGTAAGCCCATTTTGCATTGTCTTTCATTTGCGCAATTTCTTTTACATTTTGACATATTTATGATGCTGAAAAGGTTTAAAATAAAACGAAAAATGATAAGGTACCTGTTCTGGAAAATTAAAGAGTATTTCCATCAAATTAATTTGTACTCTTGTCATATTTTGTGCTGTGTTGTTTGTAAGGATTAGGACACAATGGGTACAGTGTAAATCCTGTGGTAATGCCATTTGGAATGGACCAAAAGGAGTTGTGTTACAAAATTGGCATTTTCTCAACAACCCAATGTGCTTTTTTTCATGATTTTTTGCAGTATTTGAAAGAAAAAACTCTCAGCTTTAATCTGATGTCCAAAACATAACAATGCACAGATCACGTTTGTGAAAAAAGGCAAGGTTCCAGAGTTGCATTTTGGGGGGGGGGGGGGGGGTTCACCCTGTAAAGGATAGAATTTGCATCAGGTTTTCCCTTCACCGACGCCTGGAGCATGAAGTATTATATAATTCATAAATACACATGTACCAAAGACAGTTTACCCACTCCCATTGGTCGAGAACCCATCAGGTTGGTGGATTAAACAGAAATTCTTAAATTGCAACTTGGGATTTATTCCAAATGCGCCACATTTGGGGACACCCAACCAATTTTGCGCCCAATTTCCGGACGCCACCGTTATGGAATTTTTTACTAAATTTCATGACACTGAAATTGTTCACAAAAGTTCAACAGCAAGCATTATTCAGGTAAAAGTACCAGTATTTAACATAGAATTTGAAGTTTGTCAACCAAGAAGTTTGGCAACACTGCATGAGGAAAGTCGGGGAAATGTCAAAGTGCACGACGTTAGGGGACTCCACTAAACTATGTACATGCAGATCAACTTACCACTCGGCTGTGACTCACAACTTCGCCAACCAAAAACATCAGCCTCCTCGAATCCTTGAGTTTTGTTGCCATTTTCATCACAGGACTTTCCAATCACGTTGTTCGCATCACGGGAAAGCATCGCGTCCCACGTTTCAGGTGGACCGATCTGCAACAGGTTGTCTGGGACCTGCCATCGGTTGTCGCACAGGTCGGCCAATGAGAAGAAGCACGGCGGCAAGACGTTGGCCACGCGCAGAATGAAATGGCGCCCTCTAGCATCCGTCAGGTGGTAGTACTTGGCAAACGGCATGTGCGACTTGATGCGCACTTTGTACTGTGGAAGAAACAACATTTTTTTTATAAAACTGAAAATCATATTGAGTTGATTCTCATACTGGGTTCAAGTAATGAAAGTCCCGTTACAAAAAGCCAGTTCGATCAGAGGTTTTGTTTCTCGTTAACAAAATAACCAAATGTCACACATACAAAATATTTGGAAGCAAAGTAAAAATTCTCAATGATGGGGAACTAAAGTTCATTTTAAATCAATGAGGAAATCTCGCCGACAAATTGACAAGACCTGGATTTGAACCTGCAACCACTGGATCACCATACTAGCACTCTGGCAACCGAGCTACCTATCTCTATGTTGGTGATTTTCCAAATTGTTGAAGTGCTTGTTCACTGGCATGCCAGCTTGATAGCTCCATGACTGAGCATCAGTGCAGCGTTACCGACGTCTTCAATAGATCCTAATCCAACTCCAGTCAGTTTATTTTACACACAAAAGAGCTGTACCTCTCTGGAGCCGTCCTGCTCAAGTTTCATGGCCCCGATCGTAGCCGTGATACGCCCTGCCGCGCCGGTCTTCATGTCCATGTCTCGTAGCTCCTGCCGGAAATGCTGGGGGGACCCGCAGGACTTGAACAGGTTGATGAGGGACCACCAGTTGTAACCGTGTTTCAGGAGCTGCCTGACGGTCATCTTGCGCTGCATGCCTACGATGCTGGCTGGTATATTCTCTGGTGACATACCAAAAACATTAAAGCTATAGTCCATCATTTGCAGCTATCCGAAAAGTAACTGGCGTAATTATTGTTGAAAAACATACTTAGTTGAAAGATAGTAAGGGGACTAAACTCCCTGTGAAATTAATCTTTCTGACAAGCTGTCATTTTGAAGTAATCAACGAAGGAAGGCATTTCCAACGGTGATTCTTAAGAAGCACCGTAGGAAAATTTAAATTAGTAGTTCGTTTTGTTATTCAGCGCAGTGCGCACAAGTATTGGAACGACGCACACGCGCGCGCGGTTGTTGTAATTTGTCGGATCAGTGCGCGACGTCGCGTATAGCTGCAATGCAAAACAATTCAAAACATGATTCAGTAACTTTTGATTTGAAATTGAGATCTTAGAATGCTGTTTTTCTCGGAATGTACAGCTGAAGCTTAGCTGAAACTTCATCAGGTTAGTTGTTCAGTATCCTTCATTAGATTTTGAACTCTTTTGTTGCTTCAAACGAACAAAATGCACAAATTACAAATGATGGACTGTAGCTTTAAAGATCAAGTCCAATGATGGCTGGAAACGTAAAATGAATTCTGCACTTTTTTTGTTTACGACATAACAATGTTGGTGTCCTTGAGCAGAGCATTTTACCATGATTACCATCTGGCTCTCTCTACCGTGAAAATATTTATTTTTTTTTTATTTTTTTTTTACAGCATAATGATGTGGGTGTCTTTGGGCTAGACATTTTACCATGATCCAACCCTACCTGGAGAATAATCATTAAAGACTGATTCTAAAGAATTTTGGACCTCAATTTTGGACACCCACAAGTAGTCATTGTAAGCAATCACACAATTCTTTTCTTTTTAACACTGACACTATTTTCTGTGCATCTTGCCCAAATTCCTGATTGCTCTAACAATCAAAAAACCATCAGATAACAATTGAGCCAATTTGAAATATCAATATAATGTGATGCGATCAAGCTAAATGAGTTGCTTGTCGACCCTGTGAATTTTTTTTTTTACAGATTTGAAAAGAGCCTAATCTCAGCATTACTACTGTGAAAACCGCATGCTGGTACCATCTTTAGTTAAAAACAATTAAGGAATTCTGAAGACCAACAGATGTGATGAAGTGATGTGATGAAGTGGCCCTATTTTGGCCTGTATCTCCAAATGAAAGTTCCCGACAATCAGCTCATTTAGTTTGATCGCACCACATATGTTCTCAAGTCATTTACTAGTTATTCCTCGATGCTAAAGATATTATTATTCTTATTCATGGTTTATCTATTTCATTTAAAAGACACATGGCAGCCCGAAGGCTGAAATATGGTCATTTTACAATAGTTAAAAACATTAAAGTTAAAACAAAATCGACAATGACCAATGATCCTAAAAGCTAAAATCAGACTGGTATATAAATAGATGCACATAAAACACTAGAAAATGTACTTTACAATATATTAAGGGAGTGTGTGGGGGGGGGGGGGAGGTATGGAATGCTGACCAGGAAATGGGTTTGGCTGGGAGAATGTTAAGAGGGATGGTATTAGGATATTGAAGTGAATAAGATATTTTGGTAAAAATATACATATGTAAAGGACTGCAATCATAAGCACTACTACCTTGCAGTTCCCACTTGTCTTCTTGGTAGAGTTTTTCTCCTTCATAAAACTCAATCCTGGGGGAGAAATATAACAGAAGACGACTATAATTGCACATATCTAGAAGAACTCAGAAAGCTTGATGAGTTACCGTGAGACAACGCATGCATGCTCTCCACAGGTTTAAAAACACCTCGTCTATCTTGAAACAGACTCACAACATAGACGAAGACAAAGCTGGCATTTTAAATAGTAGTAGTCGCATATTATACAAATATTGAGTGGCTCAGAGTGAAATGGGAGGAATATTATCACAATGATATTCCTTCCATTTCACAATTTAAAGCCACTCAAACCGTATGTTTGAAATGATTGATTCTTCAAAATCACAACTTTAAACATTTTAAAGATGGCGTCGGCACGTTAAACAGATAAGGCCAAAAAAAAAGTCTCCGGTTTCTGGTATGGAGCTTGCCCAAAAAGTGGTGCGGCGACGCAGCTTTTTTTGTTTTTTTACCTGATTTTTTTTGCTTTAAATCATTGAAATGTCGGCTGATGACTGCAAATGGTGCCCGACTAAACTTTTGTGCAAATAGATGGGAGTCCAGAGAGGCCACATAAAGCTTATTCTCGACCATAATCCAATCTAACAACACGTTAAAATTGTGCAGCAGCAGGATTCCAGTCAAACCAGTGAGTTTGGCGGTTTTGAGACATCATCTTTCATTGAAAAAAAAACTTTTTCATTTTGCCGACCCGCATGGCTACGGCGACGCACGCACATACCAGAAACCGGAGACTTTTTTTTTTTGGCCTAAACTGCAGCCTAATTATAATGTGCCATATTTTGACACATTTAAATTACAAAATTCCAGGGGTTGAGATCGCGTAAGGCATGATGGGAAACAACATGGCGCAGCAAGATCTCATACCCATGGGAACGAGGTTGAAATGTCCCCACCTGGCTCCCATAGGAATGCGCACATGCAAACAAGCGTGATGTCATTATGTCTTATTGGTTTTGCCAATATCCTGCACATGGAATGCATTGGAGGCTGCTGATCAGTTGCCTGTGACATTTACTGGAGTTGTGCAGTATACATTGTGCATGCTCCCATACAGCAATCACAGAAGGGTTTTGGAAGGTGTTGTCAAGCAATGATTAAAGGCAACGTAACCCATTTGAACTTACCACTCCTGAGTGCTGTATATTGGCACTCGGTACAGCAGCCAATACAAAGGACTCTGCGTGTACAGCTTCAGTACAAGAGCACCACAACTTCTAGAAAACGTCAAGCCTAAAATGAAATAATGAAATAAAACTTAAAAGTCAAAATAATGAATTGGTGAAGGCTTGGACTAAATTTCAATAATATCGTATTCTGTGCCTTTTTTTAAAACCGAGCAGTCCAGTATTGAATTCCATAGCTTGATTTTTCCTCAATTAACTTAGCCATATGTGTGTGTAAAAGCCCTTTAATCCTCCTATGCAAACATACATTCTGTGCCAAGTTTTCCTTTCAGTCAAAATTATTAAGAGTTAATTTTCAACAGTTAAGAGCTCCCAGCCTACATAAACATGTAAGGGTGATTATGGTGATTGTAATGGTGATAGTGGTGATGATGGGTAGTAGTGGTGATAGTAATAGAGGTGATGGTCGTGATGATGGTGATCATGATAATGGTGATGATGGTGATCATGATAATGGTGATGATGGTGATCATGATAACGGTGATGATGGTGATCATGATAACGGTGATGATGGTGATCATGATAACGGTGATGGTGGTGATGGGGATAATGGTGATGATGGTGATCATGATAATGGTGATGATGGTGATCATGATAATGGTGATGATGGTGATCATGATAATGGCGATGATGGTGATAATGATGATCGATGGTGGTAAAATGGGGATAGTCAAACAAATAAAGTGGTGATAATGATATTGGTGATCACATGGTGGTGATAATGGTAATAACACTGATGTGGTGATGGCAATAAAAACAAAGGTGATTTTATGACAACAACGGTCCAATCATTCAAAAGGAAATGGAGGAGGGGGGGGGAAACTGTCGTGGCTCACAACACACCTGCCTCGTCAAACTGTGCAGGGAACCAGTCATTGAGAAGTGAACCAAGACCCAGGGATCGCGATTCAACGAGCCACGGATGCCTAGCCTCTTTATACTGTGAAGAATCGGACAAAGTATAGAAGACAACACCAATCCGATAAGAAACCACATACTCACATGCAATTCGCATTCACAATTGTAGCTTGCATGCATTTTGACAACCCTACTGGGTGTTACTGGGTTTGATTTTGCATTCAATAGGGGTTGTTGAACAATAGAGGACAATAGGGTCCACAAAGGACCGATCCAGTAAGCACCGCCCCATGGTATTCTGACCAATCACAGCCGTTATTTATGTCCGACATGCGTGCACAAAAGTTCAACATGAGTGCACGCGCATATGATGCGCGTGGCAGGAAAGTGCAGTGTGGCATTGGAGAGGAGCACGTGTTAATTTGCCCACGTGCGCAGTGGGAGGGGCTTACTGGATCGGTCCATTCTGACCATTCAGCGTGCGCTTTCTATATCAGGTCACCGTCTCTTCATATATATTTATCAATAAAACCTGGACACGGCATCTTTTATTCTTTTTTACGCTGTGAATTGAGCAAAAAAGTCTGCGGTTACGCGCTAGCTGTAACGATATATGTTACGCAATACGCCAAGCAATAATAGAGCTGGCCAATCACAGTCGTGTCTACGTTTTGTAGATCTATGCGGGCGCGCCCAGCCATTGTATTTCAAAAACACTGCAATCACAATCTTAGTCTAGATTTAGGAATGAAATGATTTAGTAAAGTCGACTCTGATTGGCTGGCGCGTGGCGTCAACTTTGCATTCTTAGATATCAGATGTTGGATTGGATATAGGGCTCCGTGGACAACGGGTGATACTCAGACTAGCTTGAGGTATGAGGTCCCCCCCAAAAATGAGGCCCACCTGCCTACCTCCTACTGACACCACTGCTTCAGTGATGGTTTCTAAGCTTGCTTGGAAAAATGGAGAAGTGCTTGCTCAGGGGGAAAATGAGCAACAAAGGCCAAGTTCGCGCAAGGACTATGGTTGACCAATGGTTAACTAACGTTTGCCCGAACTCTGTCTAGTCAACGGTGGTTGACTACGCTAGTCGACTATTTGGAACCAGCCTACTGGGGTTGGTTGCTTTGCTGGTAACCAATAGCCGCGCGCATTCATAACGCTAGCAGAGAGCCAGGATCCAGAAGTTTTGCGATGACATTTTGACCAGCGTTTGACTAGAGACGTTTGCATGTTGCTATCAAAGCGCAGGCGTAAGGTACGTCACAAATCAACCACTAGTCGACTAATGGTCCTTGCCCGAACTTGGCCAAAGTAACCCTTAATACCAACGCTAAAGACGGAACAGCCACTTTTACTTTTCCCTTTAACCAGATTTCCCCAAGAGCGATTGGCCATGTTACCCTTTCATACCTGCTTCAAGACTGGCACAGGGTCGGCAAAGTGCACACCGTGCGCCCCCAGGGTTTCCGTAGCGCTGATGCCGTACTTTTCCAGCATCCGGAACAGGAAGAGGAATTGGAACGTCTCCCCCCAGTGGGCAATCAAAACTGGAAAAATTGACAACAGAAGAACAATTAATGTACGTTTGCACCTGTATTCAAGAACCAAACTTGTAATTGTAGTAAACTGTCTTGCTGAAGGACACAAGCATCATGACACACTTTAGGGCCAAAATTTCATTCATCAAAAATCATCACACCATCATTTGCTCACATTGATATCAGTGTATCAATAGTACAGCAAGATGTACAAGTGTGTTTAGTGAGTTTTAGCTTTACGGTGTAAATTTTTGGGAACTTTTGTGAGCATTATGTACATGTAGCCTGGTTTCAATTTTCAAATTCCTCACAAATGACATTTGAAACCAAATTCTTTCATTGTCTGATAAGTTACCAAGTAATTTGTAAAGTTGGTTACGTGTACTCGATCCCATAATCTGGAACCGGTTCCTGACATCAGCGGTCGGGTACTCGGGTATAAGTACCCGGTTCCGATTCACAACCCCATACCGATGCATAAAGTCTTTACCTGGATAAAGTGTCAGTCCCAATGCTGAGCTGGCTTTTTCCACAGTGCTGTCAATCCACTGGAGTAATTCCTCAATCACACCAACAGCAGCAGATTCCCTGCTGTTGCTGTTACCAGTGGAGTCACTATCATGGCTTTTGCTCGTTTGTCCACCTAATTAAAGGCAAGAGAAAAAATACTGCAAGTAAAACTTGCGCTATCCCCCTGGCATGCAAGGCCTGTACATGCCCTGGAGGTCATGACCTGTTGTAATAAAGATGTGTGGCTCTTCGTGAAAACGAAAATCTCACTTGACCTACTTTTATGCCTTTCCGTCCAATGCGTTTTGAAAGCGTTCAAGGGGCAGCAATTAATGTTCGTGTCTCTTCATGAAAATGCAAAATGGAACTATCGAGATGCCTGCCCCTGGCATCATTAATGTAATTAAGAAATTAGTGATGTTTTGCTTACAGAAGCATTTCCTAAGTAAGATGTTTTAAAGTGAAATACTCCAAAAACTTGAAATCAAAAAAACATGTGTGTGTCTCTTCGTGAAAATGGTGACGATATGTCGAGCATGCAGACGCTTGTTTTTTTTTTGTACCCACGTCTAGTTTTTCCCTGTCCTTTCTCCTTGTCTGCGTGGTTGATCCTTCTGTAGAACACCGGCGCCCTGTCGTCATATGGCCAGCAGTGGACGGCAATGTCAAGGAGCTTGTGCTTCAAGAAGCTGCTCCCCGAGGTTCTACAGGTGTAGAAGAGAAAGAGGGGCGTCTTCCTCGGCACATCTTCATCTTCTGCGGCTGGCTTATCATCCGTTGCTCGCTCTGTCATATTGTAGCTATCTGAGAATGGCAGAACGACAAACAAAAATCTAATTTGCAGATATACCTTGACCCCTTTATGAAGCTGTGCAGTGCTAGTGGTAGGTAGTACTGCTTGGCCAATTAACGGTTTAGTATAATCATCAGACAGAGTTGCTGACTCGAGTCATGTGACTTGGACTCGAGTCGGACTCGAGTCGCTATTTTTGTGACTTGTGACTTGACTTGTAAATACCAGATTGCAAAAAACGACTTGTTACCAACCCAAGTCAGACGCTACTCGAGCGACCCAATACACTTTAATTAAGCTATTATACTTTTAATTAGCTTTTTCATTCCAGAAAATAGACCACTGAATCCAGTAAAATGAATAGTTCCTACTAGTGACTGGACCTAATGACTTGTGACTGGACCTAATGACTTGTGACTTGACTTGGGCTTGCAAACAATGACTTGTGACTTGACTTGGACTTGCAAAAAATGACTTGCTGCCACCTCTGTCATCAGATGAGAGAGAACACAAATAAAATATGCATCACATGTTGGCTGGTGAATTGTTTTTGGCATTAGTTGCGACCCCCCGGCCCTCTATATTTTGAACCAAAAAGCTGGCAAAGGCCAAATTTAATTTATCTTTCTGATTCAGGGCTCTAAAGGATTTTTTTTTAAGAAAGGTAAAGTCCGAGAACCATTTGAATGACAACCGACTCATGCACAACAGTCGACCTGTCAAGCAAAATATAAAGGGGTCCTAAAGACTAGCGAATGCCATGGTTTTGCTAGGCAAATTATTCTCCGTGTTCATCATATTTCTGTACTTAGCCATTTGTACGATTAAATTTGAATTTAATAAAAGCTGTTATTAGGCAAAATAAAAAAAAAAACATGTTTAGCGTCCTGCTTCTTTGACAAAAAGGAAGAAGGAGGCCCTTTTTTTTTTTTTTTTTTTCAAAATGGCCGCCCGACACATTTTTCAAGACAACGCCAGCTTACCAGCTTTTTTCAAAATGGCCGCCACTTGGACTCATTGACTATTTCCACAGCTTTATACACGGTATAAAAGTCTAAATTATGATTTCTTTCGTCAGAGATCGTTAAAATTTATCAATTTTTGTCTTAAAAAAAAAAAAAAAAAAAAAAAAGGAGGCGGCCTCTAAAAAGGAAGCGGGCGGGGACGCTAAACATGTTTTTTTTTTACTTCGCCTTATTGCTATTTTCTGCCCCCCTGAGGAAGTTAATAGTCTGGACAAGTTACAAATCCCTGCATCATATACATGCTGAGAGAACACAATGATCATGAGGAACTTGTTATTTTTGTTATCCCAAAAATCAGAATTCTTTCCACTCATGCCACTACACTATTGCTATTACGTCTCTTATTATTTCCCCAAAAACGTGTATAGTACTTTCATCTCCACTCTACTTTTCATTGTTAAATCTTTTCCATGGCGTAGTGACCTTGCGTTGCAACAGTATTATAACTATTTTAAGTATGGCCCAAGAATCAGACAGTAAACACGGTAAACGAGGATGCAGCTATAGACTCGCTAAGTGCCAAGCGCAGCCGGTTCTTGGCATCCACAAGACCGTTCTCTTGTGCTTGTGAATTGTGCATTCTTAAGCAAGTGCGCTCAATCTGGCAGATTGCGCAAGGATCCAGTTGCGCAATCATAAAAATGTGCTTGCGCATTCTTATGATTGCACAAATCACAAGAAAGCGCACAACTGTCCAGTGCAAAACTAAACAAAAATAGGCCTAGTCCAAAAGGCACTAAGGTTAGCTTGAGTAACTCCAGCTGCAATGCTTAATATCGCATTAGGTTAGCTTGAGTAATTCCAGCTTTGAACAAGCTAGCTCATCAAGAACTCCCATGTGGTCAATTCCTGATGAGCTTGTTAAGCTGGAATTTATCAAGCTAAAGTTACTCCAGCCTGCCAGCTTCATTCATGATTATTTTATTGAATGATTTCACCGATTATCATTGCACATGTTTATTTCTCCTAACCCCGAACTTATTTAATACCTTAGGCAATAAAAATACCAACATTAACCATAATTTAATTACGAGAAACCAAACTTGCTGGTCCATCAAAAACTCCACACGCCAAGTCAAACGACTCCGCCTTTTGTGGCACAATAAACTCTTGAGGGCGCCGCCGCCGCGATTATAGACTAGACGCGTGCGTGACGACATGGACGACGACGTGGGTTTAACGTTTAAGTTTACAGCGGAAGTAATACATTTGTGGGGCAATTTGCAAGATAGCCGGGATGTGACATCTGAGCTGCCACTTTCATGACTTTCTTTGACTGCTAGTGCTACCATTACAACTCGACAACAACCGACATCGTCAAGACTTCATACAAATTTCCAAGTTAGAAAACCCTTGCAAGTTGCAGCTGCATTGTTAATAATACTCGGAAATTCGACAATTCCACACTCGTTGGAAATTCCACAATTCTACATAGCTAGCTAGGCATCCGGGCATTGCCATTGGGCCGGGCATTGGGCAAATTGGTCATGTGGTGTCAGGTCAACTCGCCCCCTGGCCGACTCGCCCCTTACTGACTCGCCCCTTACCGACTCGCCCCCTGACCGACTCGCCCCCTAACCGACTCGCCCCCTAACCGACTCGCCCCCTCGCCAACTCCCCTCCTGGCCAACTCGCCCCCTGACGGACTCGCCCCCTGGAAAATGATGCACACTACGGGGACATCGTGGGAAAAAAAAGACAGTGGACACTGGAAATCCTTCAAAAATGGCTTTGAATAATTTGGCTCCATTAAGTTTCACGTTGCGACCGGGCAAGCCAATGTGTTCCCCTCCACTGTCTTTTTTTTATTTCACGATGTCCCCGTCAGTGCATAATTTTCCAGGGGGCGAGTCGGTCAGGGGGCGAGTCGGTCAGGGGGCGAGTCGGCTAGGAGGCGAGGGGGCGAGTCGGCTGGGGGCGAGTCAGCCAGCCCAGGGGGCGAGTTTGTGAGGGGCGAGTCGGTCAGGGGGCGAGTAGGTCAGGGCGCGAGTCGGTAAGGGGCGAGTCGGTAAGAGTCGAGTCGGCCAGGGGGCGAGTTGACTTGCAATCGGTCATGTTGGTCCGAGTAACTAGGACTCTACGAATTGCCTTTTTTAACATGTGGACATATGGTCGGGGGACTATCGCCAGACCATGTCCATGATGTCCAAATGTTAAAAAGGTGAAAGGTTGGGTCCAAGTTACTCGGACTATTGGGTCATTCCATGTCAAATTACCCAATGGGTTACACCCACTGATCTCTATAAAGACTGGATAGCTAATACAGAGCCGCACAATGTACGAATTTGACGCCATATTGGTGAGACCGGCTGGTGATCTACAAAGGACATTAAGTTGTCGTTTTTATAGACAGCATGATTTCTTTTGTAACGTCGCGGTTCACTTGACTTATATTTTGACCACCATCACTGACCAAGGTTAACTACAATTTTTCTAACGTCGTGGTTACTAAAATGCCGCAAATATAACTTTTTCGGCGTTTTGAAATAATAATCACAACGGAAATGTGTCCCTTTTAGAACATCATAATATGTGTACGTGACCAAAATGCGCGTCAACTGTTGATACAACGCGCGCGTATTTACGCGTAGAATGTTCGTATTATACGCGGCCATCTTCGTGAGACCGGGGGCGAATTGGTCAATATGCAAAGTCTACTGTGTGAATGTTGTATGCATATCCGCTATCCAGTCTTTATAGAGATCAGTGGTTACACCCCACCCCCTTCAAATTTGCTCATATTTAGTAGGCCTATGTGGGGTAATTTAGGTTGAAAAAGCTGCAAGTTTTAACGCCATCGGACAAACGTTTTTTGTGCTACCGCCCCCATTGTTAAGCAATTTTGGTCAAAATGGGCGTGGCCGCCAATTTTTAAATGACCATATTTCCATAACCTGTGGGCCAAATTTGTTAATCTTGGTTTCTTTGGAAAGGTAACTTCATAAAGAATCCAAATTTACCACTACTGTTCATGTTGAAGTAATTTAAAATATGATGACCTTTTGACCTTTACTTTGAACTTGAATTTGACCTTTACTTTGAACTTGAATTTGACCTTGTGGATCACGTGACCTTGAGACAAACTTAGATGAAAATTAAACCCCAACATGTTTTCTACAAAATATCCAAAAAATGAGTGTATAATATTTTTTGTTTGGTTTCTAGCTCATGTCCAAGTTGGCATATGTGTTGAAAAATGTGATATCCCTATACATGAACATATTTCAGGGACAAAAAATCCCTACTTTAAATCCACTAGTACACTGCATAGGGACATCACATTTTGTGATATAATTGTGTTGGCATGTTTAAGATTCGTGTTTCATACACAAATTTAACATGCTAAGTTGAGTCACATATTTTACCATCCTAATTCCTATGCACAATCTGGCTTGATTTTCCAGACTAGCCTCCCGAATCTTTGCAGCCATGGCAGCATGCATGTCCAGACACTGCCTAATGTTGCTTGCTGGTGCTATACTGGCCCTCACTTTCGTACATGGTCTTGAAGCTGCAGTACCGGTAAGTATTTAGGGTGTTGAGTAGGAATGGGCGTGATCACTGAATTTTGCGCTATAAACACTGACCAGTCAGGAGGTGATACTGCTGCCATCTTTCGATCATGGCCCTTTTCTTTCTTATACAGCTCTGTAGCGGATTGTTTTTTAAACAGTCAAATAAGACTGATTTCTTACAGGATTGCCACAATTGGCACAAAATTAAATGCATTTCTGCACGATGGGGCGAATGATAGCACAAATCAAACAATCACAATCCACACTCAACAGAAATTATGGATTTACAATCAACAGTGATGGAAGGGGGGGGATTGGCCACCCTCCCCCTTTACTTTGTCCACTAGGGGGCGTAAACACCCCCCCCCCCCCCCCAGCCAAATAAAGACAAGTTACAGGTTTTTAGCTCATACTAAGAACATGCAACCCCAGCTTTAAGGCAAAGTTAAATGTCCTCCTGCTCCACCCCCCCCCCCCCCCCCAGTTCGAGTATCGCCCATTATCCACGGAGCCACAAGTCCTGTCTTACGTCTGTCTAATAGACATGTCCCACACAACCCAACTTGCCAGGTTGTTGGGTACCTGGCTGAATATGACTGGCATGCTCCATCCAACAGAATGCAACTGTGCCTTATTTTTTCTGTTTACTGCTGGATCCAACAGAGTCCAACTTGGCATTGGTATCCAACCAGTGGCGTAGCCAGGTATTTTTCAGTGGGGGGCGGGGGGGGGGGCCGCTGGGGGGCTGGAACATTTCATGGGGGGGGGGCGTCATGTAGGGGCGTCATTCGCTTCTCAAAAGTGGGGGGGGGGGACATACCTTGATCAGAACTGATGTGAGCGCGAAGCCCTTACGGTGTGGAGGTTCGGGGCCCGCTTAAGGGCCCCAAGAAAATTGGATTCTAGATGTTCTGTGGTGTGATCTGAAGCAATTTCTTACCACTTTCCTCCATGCTTTAACCAATATTTTCTTAGCAAAAGATAATTATTTGAACATCGTTTTCGAGGTTGGAGTCATCAAATCAGCTATCGGTATTCTGAGCTATAGGCGTGGGGTTCGGGGCCCGCTAAAGGGCCCCGAAAAAAATTGGATTCTCGATGCTCTGTGGTGTGATCTGAGGCAGTTTCTTACCAATTTAACCAATAATTATCTTAGCACAAAAGATAATAATTTAAACATAATTTTCGAGGTTTTCTCAGCTAAAGGCATAAGAAATTTTGTGAACATTGTTTTCAAGGTTGGAGTCATTGAATCAGCTACCAGAATTCTGAGCTATAGGCGTGGGGTTCGGGGCCCGCTTAAGGGCCCCGAAAAATTTTGGATTCTAAATGCTCTGTGGTGCTATCTGAGGCAATTTCTGACCACTTTAACCAATATTTTCTAAGCAAAAGATACATTGTAGTACATAATAGGGCCCTGTTGAGACACGAGTTCAAAAATCTGGAGGGGGGGGGGACATTAAATATTGTGTCCCCCACCCTTCAAAAAGTGGGGGGGGGGGGGGGACCAGTCCCCCTGTCCCCCCAGGATTGACGCCCATGGCGTCATGTAGATCAATGATCATTTTTTTAGAAACTCAAAATCTCAGTGGGGGGGGGGGGGGGGGGGGGTGACGGGGGGGGGGGGGGGGGAGGAGGCGACAAGGTTTCATGGGGGCGGTCCCCCCCCCCCCCCCCCCCCCCCCCCGGTGGCTATGCCACTGTATCCAACAGAATCCAACTCTGAATGTTTTAAAGGTACAGTCCATCATTTGCAGCTTTGACGTAATTATATTGTTGAAAAACATACATGGTTTAAAGATAGTAATCGAAAACTCCCTGTGAAATTATTCTTTCTGGCATGCTGTCATTTTTTCAAGAAATCAATGACAGAAGGCCTTTGCAATGATGCATCCAAAGACGCATCGTTGGAAATTTCCGTTAGTAGTTTGTTTTTTTATTTGGCGAAGCAGGCGCTAGGGTTGACATGATGCACAAGCGCCCTCGGTTGCTATAATTTGTCGGTTCAGTGCGCGACATTGCGTAGCTGCAATCAGCTCGGTAAGAACATGTCTCGGACCCAGAATTCAGGCCCAATTCAAATATGACTTGTCAACTTTTGACTTGAAATCGAGATCCTAGAATATCGTTTTCTCAGAATGTACAGCATTCACTGAGCTGAAACTTCATCAGGTTACTTGTTCAGCACCTTCTTTAGATTTTGAGCACTTTTGTTGCTTTAAACAAATGTAGGCCTAATGCTCAAATTACAAATGATGGATGCTACCTTTAAGTTTATCGCTCAATCCAACAGTACCCTTGTAGTTGGAGCCTGTTGGATTGAGTAGGGTTAGGGATAATTGCATGACTTGTGATGGATGATACATGGGTGGACTTGTCTACAACTCATTTTGGAGGTAAACAGTTTTCTTCTTTTCTAGTCCCCAGACAAGCGACCCTGTGACAAGCAGGACAATGATGAACCAGAGACACTCTGCAGGGCAACAATCGATTGCTATTGTATAAGCGGAACCTACCTGGATATTCCCTGTGATACTTTTGATCAAGACAACATTGAGTAAGTGTGATGAGAACTGAAGGGGGAGGGCTGTTTTGAAATTGTTTTGAGCTGTGCATTACATGCTCGAGCAAACTGTGCATCCCACTCACTGAACTCTTATGATTGGTCACAAAAGGCCAGCTAGTGTTCTTTAGTGCTCTGCAACCAGTTGAAATAGTCAGGTAGTCGTGTAATATTAGTTGCAACTATCCAAATATTTGCTACGGTTAGTTCTTAGGAAATACATGTACAGTGAAGCCATGGATGCATTTTCCACAAACGCAGCTTGACTTCCGTTTCATATTGTGCATGTTGATCATGCATGCAATATGGTGATCACCTACAAGATCCTACTTTTTAGTTGTGAATATGGACTCTGCATTGTCATGATCATCATCATCATTGGGCGGCAGCAGCCGAGATGGAAGAAACCAAACTCTTCCAGACTCTCTTGTCCGCCATGGCCGTTATGATGTCATCAACGTGCTGGCTCACATCATTGCATAACAAATGGAGCCTTACCCTTAACAAATCGTTCCACACCATCTTGGTTGATGACTGGTTTTGTCCGTCCTTGTGGCTTTAGGGCCAATCCTTCATTCTTGTTAACCGTTGTCATGAATGTCAGTCTATATTTGTGCATTTAACAAGGTATACATGGACTTTCACTACATAGTGGGGCATTGGCACATTGTGACATTAGAAATTTAACTCATGGTACAGGGAACAATTACCAAGTTATGGTGCAAGACTACATGCAAGTCACAGCATGACTTGTCAATGGGCCAGTGCCACAACAAGTTGTTGTGCCATGACTATTCAGGGTTTTTTTTGGATTGGGGTCTCGACTTTAGTCGCTCTTGTCGAAATCATCTAAAAATCATTCTTGGAGTCAAACCAGCTACCTCGGTTCTACTCAAACAATTGTCTCATGCAGTCTTGATGAAAAAAACTTGGCACTGATGCAGTAATGGAGAAGTGGCATGTACCATGTTTTGTGTCATATTCGTGTGGATGCTCCAGAAAAAGCCTGTTCCGGGGGGGGGGGGGGGGACCTACGAGTAAAAGTCCTACGGGCAGCATAAATTGTTCTGATTGGGAATGCATCCATTTCACAATGGGAATCTCAAACGATTCTGGACCATTGACCATCTAGATGAGTTGTTCAACACTTCCCATATTTTTTCATGGAGATGTTCTTTGACAGTGCTCCCGATCTTCTCTGTTCAGTTGCAGTTCGTATTGCAAACCCTGCCCGTATGGTAAATTCTCCCCCTTTGACAACCGATGCTTGGCTTGCCGTCCTGTTACTCCGTGCAAACCTAATGAAGAGGTAATTTGGTGGGTGGAAGGTGTGACTACCGGCTTTTTGAACTGGCTTTATGGTCTCACAATGAACATTCGTAGGATATGACGTTTACATGTTTAAACGAAAACAATTCTAAATCCTTTCACATATGTTCATAACATTAGATGAAACTCGAATTATAAAAAATGGACCTCCGTTTATCCGATCTTTTTTTGAGTTAAACAGCAAAAAAAAAATGTTCTCAATGTATGTGTCCACTATTTATTATGTCAATTATTGATTTATGTCAATCATGCCGGTCTGCAGACATGGGCAGTCATCAGCCTTTGTAAAATGGCTAAATATTTCAATGTTTCTTAAAATATTACCGAAACATTTACAAAATTAAACGCAAAGTCACATTCTTAGTTATTTCACGGTATGAGCCAAATGAAAATTAAAAGTGTCCATCTGTTAAACATTTATATAATATCGGATGGCTTTGAGGTGGATACAAGAATATATTGTACAAGCTATGACAATATTGCACGAGACGAAGACGAGTGCAATATTGTCATAGCGAGTGCAATATTCTTGTATCCACCGAAAACAAGCCATCCAATATTATTATTATTTATATCAGGCTGACTTGATCCGCAAGAAGCACAATTCAAGACACTGTCTTCATTGAATCTTTTTCGTTTACATCAAACGTTTTGAAGCTGCCACTGTAATTGTGCTACTTTTTGAACTACTTTTTTTTTTGGCCCAATAAATCATTCCAATAATGTTGATCAGTCTATGCACGGTGATTTCTCTGCTTAGAATTCAGCTATTCCCTCAAATTGTAACATTACAATATTTCATCATACACTACCTTGATATTTGATCGTTCTATTTCACTTTTTGATCAAAGGTGATCATACGTGCCACAGGAAGGGCAGACCAGGTGTGCGGCTGCCGACGTCAAGGTAAGACAAGACATCCAAAGTTACAGACTTCCAACATCCAGTAGTTAGTGCACAATTTCAAAAAACATCCTTTCTGTTTATTTAGTTTCTTTGGGCAAACATTTTGTATGTCCTTGTTCTTCAGCAGCCAACAGTCTTTTAAGATTTACAGAGATGAACTTTCTAATCAACTTTAGTAATAGTAGTAGCAGTAAGTACGTCACTAGCAAATATGGCCAATCGGGCCGACGTTTATCTCCAGTTTCCTTGGCATGAAACAACTGAAAATATTTCCATTCCCCCCCCCCCCATGGGATGCCAGTTCATCATGGGCTACACTCCCCACCTAATTCTATTACCCATGTACACTCCCATGTGGAAAGAAGGAATTGGGGTGAAATGGCTTGCCCAAGGACACAACATATAGCTAGGATCTTGATTTGAACCCCTGACCCTCTGATCACGAGGCACACCCTAATCACTTGAACACATCTAATTGTCACAAGATCCCCCTCAACCAGGAGGACCCCGGAATGGTACTTTAGATCAAACTCTGATGGTAAAGACTCAACTCAGACAAAATGAAAAAAAGGACAGATCTGTATATAATTTCAAGATTAATTTAATTCACAATATCACCAATATTAACATACACTTAGATTTCATCCTACAAAGAAACTAAATAAATACATCATTATTAATACATTACAAAACAATCAACGAAAGTGGGCCCAAATCAACGGTTCGTGTGAAGTGTTCGGGTTGATGTGGTTGTGGGTGTGGTGCACCGGTGCCTGCCCTGGTAGTACCATCTGTGTCCGTAGAGTCCTCTGCCCACGTGTGACCTTTCCTGACAATCCTGCTGGTATGGTCGACTTGAGTTCGGCCCGCCGAGGATGTCTATCTCACTGTGCGGAGTTCCCAAAACCAGACGTTACGTCCCAAAAACCCTGGTTTAGAATTAAGTACAAGTTGTCACCATGCATCTCTCTTACACAAGATTATTACATGCAACATCCATAGCAGTTTAAGCTCATTTAACATAGCATAAAATGCAATGTACAGTTTATACACAAAACCCAAACAATGTGTTATTGCCAAGGCACATTTCCAATGTTTTACAACAGTTATACAAATACAAATTTTCACTTTTTAAATTCAGATTGAAAATTGTAATGCAATAATACTTACAGGTTATGGCGAATAACCTGGTCTACATTTTATTGACTTTGACGAGGAGACGAGGACGGCTGCAGCCTACCGACTCTGTGGGACTCATTCCCAACGGCGCAAATAATTGCAAACTCAGTTCACTAGGAACCTACAACTCCCCAATGTGGGTACACATGAGCATAACATGCCCTGACGTAGTGTCGGTCCTGGTCTTGCCTCCAAGTGCCTAGCCAACGCCACAATCTGGATTTTATACCCAAGACTGATGGTCTAAAAGTATTTCAAAACCTCAGAACATGTCAAGTTAATCTATTGACAGGCACGGACTGCTCAGTTAAATCCCACCATTGTTAAATACTTATAGGATTAACAGCTTATACATTGTAATGCCAAAGTGTTCAACTGGAGTCAAGTCATGATAAGATTACCCCAATTCCAACTTCGTGGACTTCTAATACATCCAAAAAATTAGGTTGGGTCTCTCCCTTAATACAATCACACACAAAATTTTCACACTATATATATATATCAATTAGGTTGGGGTCGCTTCCCCATAATACAATCACAAAAAGAAAAAGCTATACAGTATAAGTCTGGAAATTAAATATTCACAAGACCTTTTAAAATCAACTTGCGACACTAATCAACTGTCCATGTTGCTAATTGGATTTTGTTTTTGGTCTGCTATATTTTTGGCACCATGAGTTTAAACATTTGGAAGTTTTTCAACTTTGCTTTGTTTTGCCAGACCTGACGTGCCCACCATGTCCAGAGCAGACTACACCTACTTTTACAAGTACACAAGGTTTGATTTTTAAAGATATTTTTTTTTCAAGGCATGAGATATTTTCGGACTTTTGTCTGAAACCCGACCTTTGGAATCTAAGAGGAAGATGACAGTATAGGTAGAAATGCAGCCTTCAGATCAAATTTTCAGACCCTTTATGAATTGACAGTCTCAACCCAGAGCCTTAAACGTTACACACACAAAAATGCATTTTATCCATAAACTTTCTTGATCTCGTTTTAAAGACATTTGCTACAAGGACACCAACCCTTTGGAAATTAAAACTATTACGAATTGCAATGATTTTTTTTTAAGTTGAAACAGTCGTAGACCCTAGTGTGAACCCTCCACAAGAAAAACGAGCAACTGACAATCAATGGACCTTTGGTGAGTATTCGCATGGCTATTTGAAGGTAGGGTGGTGGAGCCCACTGGAATGGACGTTTAGCAAAATTACCGTGGGTGCCTGCGTACAGTGTGTTCCTCCCACGAGAGCTTTTGAACAAAAACAGGGCCTGGCCTAGAACAAATTGCAAAAGCATTTATTTTAACGCTATCACGCCAAGAAAATATCACTATTTAACATACTAAAAATCTAATTTCATCAAAGGAGTGGAAAAGTGTTTTTATTCACATCACATGTAAACGGTTGTACGGAGGACTTCCATGTTTTCTTTTTTTGTCCGTTACCCGTCAGAAAATCCTTTCAAATCACGTATATGAGACTTCGTGAGACACGACTGATCACAGCAGACGACTTTCCTATGTCCACCAATTATTAAACTGTAATGCAATTTACACTGTCGCTAGGTACTATAGGATATTTGAAAAAATCAAGAAATTTGAGATTTTTTTTCTGCCCAAATTATTTACTGGTTAAAATAAATCACTTTGTCCTCAATAAACCATTTAATTCAAGGAAAATCTTTGCATAAACAGGTGTACTTGAGACAAGGCTGGGCGATGGTAAACACATGTCTTCACATAAACAATAATGTCTGGCGAAGCTAAATACGAGCCGTTGTAGTCAGAGTTGTAATGACTCGAGTCAATGACTCGACTCGAGTCCGACTCGAGTCACATTTTTTGGCGACTCGACTCGACTCGAGTCCCGACGGGTAAATGACTCGACTCGACTCGAGTCACTGCGAGCAAATGACTCGACTCGACTCGAGTCCCTCATCAGAATGACTCGACTCGACTCGAGGAAGGCTAATAAGACTCGAGTCCCAAAATAAAAGCAAAACTTACTTGCGAAAAATATTTGCAATGACTTACGCTGCGCCGTTCGCGTTGCCAGTTTTTGTTCACGTCACGTTAATGTTCGCGAATAATGTACGTTTATATACAGCGGCAGTCTGTTTCCTTCCTCCATAATGAAACAACAAACATACACCGTGAAGCGGACTCCCACCTTGTGGTTCTATAGCATGTAATGCTACACCCGGAACCAGACTTAAAACGCATTTCTCAATCCGTGGTTTCATCATTGGTTTCGGGCAATTTTGAAGTTCTTGGTGGAACGCTGGCTAAATTCATGTCCCGATTTCACACACAAAAATGGATACGGACGGGCCCACCTTTAAATAATCAGAAACAGTTTTGTATAATGCAATTAGGTTTTAACGTTGTCAGCGATCAGCGAACAACAAAATCTAGACCCGATGCCAAACCAGTTATAAGACCGAAGTTTCACATCTTCTTATCTGTGACGTGAGCTAGCAATGGAAACTGTTGGTTGGGTACCATACAGCATACTTTATGTCTTTGGATTTCCGTAATAGACTGGTGCCTTGTATTCTTTCTCTCTTGTGTTTGTTGTTTTTTATTGTAATTAAGTGTTCAAATATTTGTGACTCGAATTGACTCAAGCTAAATACTTGACTCGACTCGACTCGACTCGACTCGACCACACTCTGTGACTCGACTCGACTCGTCTCGACCTTGTTGACCTAATGACTCGACTCGACTCGAGTCATTTCTTTAAAATGACTCGACTCGACTCGAGTCACAAAAATCAGTGACTTGTTACAACTCTGGTTGTAGTTAACACCGCACTGTACCGTGTGCCTAAATCCACACACGTGAACACGTTGTACATGCACAGATTGCATGACACACTTAAAGTGACCTGGAAAGTATATACATTTTAGGTGCGCGCTCCAATAAACAGTGCATTGCTAGGTGACGTCTACAGACTTAATGAATAAATTATGAAACCAAGGTCAAAGGTAAATCTACTACAGTTTGACAATGTGCGCCTGCGTTACACATGCACTGACCAACCGTTTTTCCTTTGTGTATGGTCAAACATGATTTTAGACATCCCATTTTGCTAATAAGCATATCCCCTGTATGGACTTATTGCGCACTTTAGGCGGAAAATCGTCCACTCTATCGGTACTGCCTTTCATAAAATTATGACTTGAAAAGTTTCCGACGCAATGTCGTCTGCTGCACTCTCGTGTGGTCATGAATCCTAAACATTAGGGAGGTTTCGCAAGCGAACGGATACGCTTACACTTACGTTTAGCTATCCGTATCCGTTTTTTACTTGCGTGTAGCGAGAGCGAGATATGCGTGTCGTCTGCACGTATGACGTCATACGCCACTCACTATCCGCTAAACGTGCAGACGACACGCATATCTCGCTCGCTGCACGTACGGTAAGTAAAAAACGAATACGGATAGCTAAGCGTAAGTGTAAGCGTATCCATTCGCTTGCGAAACCTCCCTAATAGCTTATATAGGCATACAAATCGAAGCTAGTCACCAGACGAATTGTCGAGGTTCAAAAGGTCTCAAATTGTTATCTCCAAAAAAAGTGCTTGAAAAACACCCTTCCACTCCATGGAAACAATTAGATTTTGTACATGTTGTTTGTGTATTTATTTGAAGTTGTTTGACGCTTGAATGGTTTCTATTGCAATTTGTTCTACATTGTAGGTCTGAACTGAAATTGACCGGACTAAATGTTCATGCATAGAGTCTATATCATGAATTTAACTTCTTAAGTTATGTAAAAGTAATGCAAAGACATGTGATGTTATTGTTGAAATATTAATTTTTCATTTTTTTCAAATAGATGGCTGGTCTGTTGTTATAGGCATCATTTTAGCTATGGGTCTTGTACTTCTTGTTGTTTGGATAGTATGTATTTTATTGAAAGAAAGAGGCTACCATCTGAGGTTACCATGTAAGTACCGTTGCCAACATTCTTTATTCATTATCATATAAAATTCTTTTAATTTAAAAAAATTACAGCAACTGTTTTATCAGCAACCGGTTTAAAACATATTCATTAATGATCGATCGCACTAATATCCCTGACAACAGGCAGAGCATACTGTTCAAAACGTTGAGTCCCTCCGATTCTTTTCAGAACCACACATACTCACAAAAGAGATTTATTCACATGGTGCTACCGCAAACTTATCTTGTCTTACTAGTATCCCTGTTCAGAAATACTATTTAGGTCCAAAACCATACAAAATATGACTACATTGCAACAACTTAGTTCTACTAATTTACTCCATGCTTGTGTGCACAGCATGTGTTTGCTCACCATCTCCTTAAATATGGTTATGACGTGAGTGTTCCGTGAGCACTCGCAGTACAAACTGTGTGCAGTGTTTAACAGGCATTGTAAAGCATCCACGACCTTCAACCAGTATAAATAAGTTAAAGAGGTTGTGGAATGCTCGAAGACATTTCCATCATTTTTTGGGTATTTGTAGCCTAAGGTGTGATGAAATAAAAACGACTATTGTTTCTGTCATGAAATGAGTACAAAGGGTACTTCTGAGAGCTATTTTTCAGGTCCTGTTTCGACCCGAACGTGCAATTTGTGTAAAAGTCGTCGTTGCGGGCAGCAAACAAAACACAGTAAATCGTGACGTAATAAACAGGCTGTTTATTACGTCACGATTTACATGTACTGTGTTTTGTTTGCTGCCCGCAACGACGACTTTTACATTGTGTAAAAATCGTCGTTGCGGGCAGCAAACAAAACACAGTAAATCGTGACGTAATAAACAGGACTCGTTTATGCTCCTCTGCATCAGGAGTCCTGTTTATTACGTCACGATTTACTGTGTTTTGTTTGCTGCCCGCAACGACGACTTTTACACAAATTGCACTTTCGGATCGAAACAGGCATGACAGGACTTGAAAAACAGCTCTCAAAAGTACCTTTTGTACTCATTTTATGACAGAAACATTAGTCGTTTTTATTTCATCACACCTTCGGCTACATATACCCGAAAAATGACGGAAATGTCTTCGAGCATTCCACAACCTCTTTAGCTTTCTAGGTAATTAACCACTGTCTTTGGCACTTTTGCAGAGGGAATGCCCTGCTCTCCATATGGGTGGTTGGTTAGGGAGGGCTCGCCTGTGAGAGATTTAGCAACCCATCAGCTTTGCTATCCTGCTATTTTTTGTGCTGTATTGCAATCTCTTACTCATTCCCGCGTCTTTATCATTTTTGTTGGCAGCATCGTTTACTGTGCCCAAACTTTCCTGTCCTTTTTCTGCTTCACTTCTAAGGAACGTCAAGCTTTCATGGTATGTAAACTGAAGAGCAACTTTGATGAAGAACTATAAGTAACCATGGTGGGAATAATCTCTTACATGTAGAGTGAACACTAGCAGACAATGGTCGGACAAGTCTAGCTGACCATTTAGAGCCAGCCAACAGATCAGGTTGGTTTGCCTAGTTGGTTACCATCAGACATGCGTATTGCAATGTGCTGCTGGGAGCCAGGAATGCACAGAAGTGTTGTGATGATGTTTGACCATTGTTGAGCGACCACCAGTGGTACTTGATCAAATGTGCTCTTAGTTGACATCTGTCAGCCTGTGCATGACCATTGTTGAGACTGCTTTCGCACGTAACATTATTAACCGTTTGCTATTTTCCCGGGTTTGCAACATTGCTAACTTTGCTAGCATCATGACTTCGGGTGTATGTCGACCTGGCTACATGTTAATTGCCTCTGACTAGTGCCCCTTGAACAAAGACATTGACAAAATGAGAAATTGCAAACAGGGCTGGATAGCTCCGTTGCATGGTGAGCACCAGAATGGATTCTGGAGGTCGCAGGTTCAAATCCTTGCCCAGTCAATTTCTTTGTTCAACTTTGAAAAATTATTACAATGTGTGTAGTCAGTCAGACTTTGTGGTATATTTGGAAATTTGTACTAAGCTGTATCCTCTTTGAGTGATCCCTGTTGGCTATTTCCTGGCATTGCGGCATTGCTAATGTTGCTAGCTTTGTGACTTTGGCCGTGATCCCTGGCTATATGCCATGTTTGGTTTTGTGTTTAGGTGGATATCCACATTAGCTCCCGGATATAGAAAGTTGACAGAGTAGTTACCCAGACCTGGATTGTTAACTTCTAGATCCATAAATAGGGCATTGAAACCAACGTCCTGGCTCAGAAGTGTTCATAAACGTTATTTGTCTTCACCTGTTGCAAATCTGCACCATTTTATGAGCCGAAATTTCACCTGTATACAAATACTTTATAAGTTAATTTCAGGGAAACAAGTAGCAACTCGAAGTGGTACAAAAGGTAAATAAATATTGGAGCATTTTACATATAATTTCATTTGACTACCTCCTTAACATTATCTTTCAAGTTCGCTGATTAGTGCGATAAAATATTTGAATGAAATTGATTTAAATTTACTTGGTACACTGCAAGTGCTTCAGTAGCAATTTCAATTTTCAGCCATTACAGCATTTGTTGGAGTAGAAGGATCATGAGAGAAAAAGGAGGTAACACACTGATTATACAGTGTTTAAAAACGTCGGTGAAGGGTAAAACCTTATTTGATTTATATCACCCCGACGCAAAATTCCATCTTATAATAGTTTATGCGGTACCCGCTGCTGTGTACATCAGATTCGAACCGGCCAACCGATCCCGTTAGCTCGGTGGTCGAGCGGAAAGACATCTGCACTAGAAAGCAGGAGGTCGTGGGTTCGAGTCCCACCCGAGTGATTTTTTTCCAACTTTCACTCGGGAGGTAACACACTGAGTATGCAGTATTTAAAAAAACGTCGGTGAAGGGAAAAACCTAATTTAATTTACATTGAAGATGCTAAGGTACATTGCTCATTATGCTGTTGCACCTTGCTGATGCATGGTGCACATTGTTGACATTGAGGTGCATTACTGACGTTTCTGCTGTGAATAACTGCTGTGACCAGTAGGTTTGGATCATCTCACACCAATGGGAAAGGACCTAGATAATAAAACAATCAAGCCTATTAACCCTCCTATGCAAACATACATTCTGTGCCAAGATGTCCTTTCGGTCAAAATCAATCAACTGACTGTTTTCAACAGTTAAAATGGTTATGACATGAGTGTTCCTCGAGTACTCGATTGTAGCCAGTGCACGCAGTACAAACTGTGTTCATGTGGCATATGGAGCAAGGGGTACATGTATTTCCACCAGTTTTTAACATTGTTTAACAGGCATTTTTCATGTTTTAAACCTTCCACACATGACCTTCAAAATGTTGATGTTTAAGCTATTTATGAATAAGGGAATAAATGTGTGTTTGGGAGGCATTATAACACTCTGTTTAAGACCGGTGGGAGTCTGGATCACTGATCTCTATATAAAGTCTGGATAGCTAATATAGAGCCGCACAATGTACGAATTTGACGCCATATTGGTGAGACCGGCTGGTGATCTACAAAGGACAAGTTGCCGTTTTTATAGACGGCATGATTTCTTTTGTAGCGTCGCGGTTCACTTGACTTATATTTTGACCACCACCACTGACCAAGGTTAACTACAATTTTTCTAACGTCGTGGCTACTAAAATGCCGCAAATATAACTTTTTCGGCGTTTTGAAATAATAATCACTACGGAAATGTGTCCCTTTTAGAACATCATAATATGTGTACGTGACCAAAATGCGCGTCAACTGTTGATACAACGCGCGCGTATTTACGCGTAGAACGTTCGTGTTATACGCGGCCATCTTCGTGAGACCGGGGGCGAATTGGTCAATATGCAAAGTCTACTGTGTGAATGTTGTATGCATATCCGCTATCCAGTCTTTATATAGAGATCAGTGGTCTGGGCCCAATTTCATAGCGCTGCTTAACAGCCGACTTTGTGCTTAGCGAGCCTCCATCTATTTCATAGGGACCGTTAAGCAGTAAGCACAGCAAAAGCAGGCTTAACCTCAGAAGAAAACTTTGCTTAAATCGGTGACGTAACAATAGAAATCTCCATGCGCGCGCAACTGTAAGCACAATCACGGCATGAAATAGTGCTTAAGCAGCAGAATGATTTTCTGCTATAGTAAGCACACCTTTTCTGCTTACTGTTAAGCAGTGCTATGAAATTGGGCCCTGGATAGGTGATAATTACCCGAGGCGAAGCCGAGGGTATATGTAATTATCACCCATCCAGACTCCCACCGGTCTTAAACAGACTGTTTAATACCGACCGAACACATATTTATTCTCATTCATAAATACCTTTTCGGTTAAAAAATATATATATTTTTGTTCCAAATATCAAAAGAAGTCAAAAACTAGACGTTACCAACCATTTTGGTCAACAATTTTACTTCATGTTTTACGAAACACCCCTCTGACTATAATATGGAATGCCCCTCCACAACTTGTTACCTTATAGGGACATTTGCGTGCGCGTCGCGCGTACTGCGCGATGTCGTGCAAAACGCAGCTGGGCTGGTGTAGTGTGAATTTCGGACCATGAAATACTGATTCACTTGTAGTACATTGCGCATGCATACGGGAGGAATGTGAACGTTCAACCAATGAAACGTTAAAAGGCACCGGATTTCATGATAGGAGTCCAAATTTCATGTGACACTACTGGAAAAGTGTTTAAGACCAGCTAGCCATGTCTTTATCATCCGTTTAAGACCAGCCACGTGACGGGCTTTCGACCAATAGGAATGCGTAAACTGTCTTAGGTATTTATGAATAATATTTAAACCAATGTCTGGGCAATTTGGCGCAAGGAATGTCTGTGTTCTCCATGTGAGATGTGGGGAGGGTGGAAGGCAGAGGAAAGCTTTAGCAACCCTTCAGTTTTGCAATTTTGCCAATATTTGTGCTCTCCTGCAATCTCTTAATCATTCTTGCAAATGAACCACGTCTTTATTGTTTTTCTTGGCAGCATCATTTACTGTGCCCATGCTTTCCTGTCATTTGCTTCTGCTTTGCTTCTATAAGCTACATCAAGCGATTATGGTATGTAAACTGCTGACATGTGCTGTAAGTCGTCAATTTGCCGACTTACATGAATGGTCTTTTGCACACATGATTCAATGCACTAATTGGCTTCGATTTACCCTGGATTATCTCCTTAATGCTTGAGTTGAATCTAGCAAATTAATCCTCAAATTGTATCATCACGGTTGGGATATTGATAGTAGAGACCACAACATATGACATATGTACGTGCACAGTAATGAATTAAATGTGTGCGTGGTCTGGTATGTACCATGCACGCATTGACTGCCGCAGTAGTCATTCAATAAGACAACCCCCAAAACGGACAGAGCGCATGCGTACAGCTGAGAGGGGGTACTGGTATTGATATGCTCACGGTGCATGTGTGATGTATGCAGTATATTTTTAGGACACCCTTTTTCGACTCCGATGCATGCAGCGATCAGGTGGCTTTCCTCTCCTGCCTTCTTGGACTTGATTCTCATTCTTGACAGGCATTGTCTTGACTCAGTTTTTAAATTGGATCATCTAATTTTTGAATATCCAATGATCTTTCAACCTGTGAAAATCTTGATTGGTGTTGGGTACGAATAGCTGCCCCATGCATCTTTCTTTTTCTTGTTAGTGTTTGCATCCTTATGCTTAGCATCACTAATATCTTGTAATGCCTCATACTTGTCTGCCATAAAGAGTTCTCCTTTTGAGAATAATTTTCCTAAATTCCTTGCCATTTTTGTAGCCATGTCTGATAACCGAGCTTTATATGTAATTCATGCTAGAGGATTTGATGTTGATTCACCTACACGCAGACAGTACACTATACATGCTATACAACATAACAATAGGCCTTGGTAATTTTTTTTGCTAAACCACGCAAATGCTGGACATGGATTAGCCTAAAACTCCTCATCACACTATTGTATCTGTTGTTATCACATTCCATACATGCCTACTCAACCAAAAAGTACCCAATTACTCGCGTATGCAACTAAATTCTCCTAGTATGTAACTGGTTAGCAAGGTTCTTATTAGTAAGGTTTCATGAATAACAATTTAGTTGTGGACTACTAGGCATTTTAGTATCCTACTAAAAGCCTACAATAGTTGGCTGCTAAGTTAGTAAGGTTTCATGAATATGACCCCAGCAATTTAATGGTACTTGATCAAATTAAGTTCTCTCAGCATTGTTGAGATTGCTTTTGCTGTGATATTTTTAACCTCGATCACTCAAAGCTGTGCTCTGTGAAAAGCCTTATCCTCTGTGATAAGTGCTCCCCGTTTTTCTATTTTCCTGGGTTTGCAGCAATTGTTAATAGCCTGGCCATATGGCATTATTATACACATATACTGGCAATGAAGTCAATAGTGCATGTCTGTGCGCCCCGAGGGACCGTGAGTGACCAGAAGAGGGGCAGA